TTTTAAGAGCTATAATAGCATAAGAACAAACTGTAAGTGACACCTGGAAACCTGAGGTTTATCTCTAAGCACGGAAATGTTTTGTATTTTAACTGTTAGGACAGATATCCATTAAAAACATATATCACCATAATCTTTGTTCTTTCTTTCTTATTTGTTGTCTTTCCTTTCCTTTTTTTCCTACTGAGTCGTAGGCCATCAAGGCGCCTTGCTAGCTCAGTTGGAAGAGCACATGACTCTTGATCTTAGGGTCATGAGTTTGAGCCCCACAGTGGGTATAGAAATTACTAAAAAAAGTAAATAGGGGCACCTGGGTGGCTCAGTTGGTTAAGTGTCTGCCTTCGGCTCAGGTCATGATCCCCAGCAGGGAGCCTGCTTCTCCCTCTCCTGCTCACCCTGCTTGTGCTCTCTCTCTGTCAAATAAATAAATAAAATCTTAAAATAAATACATAAATGAATTTAAAAGAAAAAAAGTCCCTACACTACCAGCTCTGCCTAAAGATACTGATCTGGGGAATGTCACTTTGTGTTCATAAAGCTTGCAGTGTCAACAGCACCAAATATAATTTGATTTGGTCTTAATTTTTGTGGGGCATCACTGGGAACCACTCATGTTTTCAATCAGATTCTTAGATTTAGCAAATAAAAATATAGGATACCCAGTTAAATTTGAACTTCTGATAGACCAATGATTTTTTTTAGTATAAGTATATCCCAAATATTGCATATATTCAATAATTATTCATTGTTTATTTGAAATTCAAATTTAACTAGGTGTCCTGTATTTTATTTGGCAACTCTAATCAAGTCCTGTTGAGATACTTAGTCCTGTTTGACCCTGGCTATCCTCAGGCCCATATGTTGTTCAACTTTACCTGTCTTTAAGTAGCCAAAATTTTGCCTCTCAGAGCTGTTATTATAGGGAGGCCAAAGCTAGTCCTCCGCCCCAGTGTTCCCAGATTGCTGTTTTTCTCCCTTCCTCATGGCCATCTCTGTTCTTCACTGACACTTTTTTTTTTCTAATATTTTTATTTATTTGTCAGAGAGAGGGAGAGAGAGAGGCTGAGGGGAAAGCAGGCTCCCTACTGAGCAAGGAGCCCAATGTGGGACTCCATCCCAGGATGCCGGGATCATGACCTGAGCTGAAGGCAGACACTTAACCGACTGAGCCACCCTGGTGTCCCGTCACTGACACTTCTTAACTCTATTGCCACTTTTGCTGTCTGCCATCTTTTTTCTATTCTGGCTCATTCTTTTCCTATGCCATTTTTTCTTTCTTTCTTTCTTTCGTTCTTTTTTTTTTTTTTTTAAAGATTTTGTTTATTTAATTGCCAGGGAGAGACACAGCGAGAGAGGGAACACAAGCAGGGGGAGTGGGAGAGGGAAAAGCAGGCTTCCCGCCGAGCAGGGAGCCTGATGCGGGGCTGGAGCCCGATGTGGGGCTCGATCCCAGGACCCTGGGATCATTGACCTGAGCCGAAAGCAGATGCTTAACGACTGAGCCACCCAGGCGCCACAGCCATTTTTTCTTTCTATAACAGCTAAATGTAGTGGTTTAGAGCATGGACTTTAAAAGCAGACAAATTGGGATTTGAATCCCAGTTTATCTTTTAGTAAGTCTGGGAACTTCAGTAAATTACTGAATGTCACTTAGCCTCAGTTTCTCTTTCTGTAAAACACAGACACTAATGCCTACTTTACAGGGCTGTTCTGAAGGTTAGATGAGATGATATAGGTGAGCTACTCAAGGGACAATCCTTATTAAATAGATGTTATTAGAAGAGTTTCAGATGTTGGGTACTGACTTAACTTTTTTGAATGTGTTGGGTGCCTAGACTTGCAGTTCAGGCTCTGCTCACATTCTTCCCTGGCAAGCTTTTGTACTGTCTGGCTTGTCTTTGACATCATTACCAACAGCTCAGTTCAGGAAATACGTATTGAATTTCTACCATGTGCTAACCAGGGTGCTAAAAGCTGTAGATCCAGAGATAAATGAGATAGCACTGATCTCAAGGAAAGTGTTAGAAAGAATTGATATGAAACAGATCACAATACAATGAAGTAAAATTATCTAGGTAGGCACAGGGTGCCTCACAACACTATGAGACCACAGAGAAGGAGATCAGACCCCTGGGAGGAAGGAGGCTAGAAAAGGCTTCAAGTTTGTGATAACATCTGGGCAGAGAATTAAAAGTGGAATGGGCTAGCTATAAAAAATATGCGGGAGCAGTGGAAACATATTCTACACTTAGTGAACAGCATGAGAAATAGGAAAAGGTCCTATGGATGGTATATACAGGGAAGCTCAAAGCAGTTCAGTAGGTATTATGAGTAAAATTGTAAAGCCAGGAAGGGCTAATGAAAGTATTACTTTCGGGGCGCCTGGGTGGCTCAGTTGGTTGAACGACTGCCTTCGGCTCAGGTCATGATCCTGGAGTCCCGGGATCGAGTCCCGCATCAGGCTCCCTGCTCAGCAGGAATCCTGCTTCTCCCTCTGCTTGTGCTCTCTCTCTCTGACAAATAAGTAAATAAAACCTTAAAAAAATTAAAAAAAAAAAGAAAGTATTACTTTCTTTTGGTCATCAGTGCTAGGGCACATAACTTTACAGCAGTTGTGGGTTTCATATATTTGGCCCTCTATTTTCTTAAAAAAATATATATATATTGGCCCTCTATTTTCATCATCCCTTTTGTTTGTATAGAGTTTTGGTCATTTTTAATTTCATGCCTGTCCCAGATGTCAAAACACATGTTACTGTTTCATAATTATAACTGCTTCCACTTCTCATTTTTCTCATTTTAAAGCTTTCTGAGCTGAAAGGTCTTTCTTTAATCTAAAAAATGTATTCGTGGGGCACCTGGGTGGCTCAGTCGTTAAGGTCTGCCTTCTGCTCAGGTCATGATCCCAGGGTCCTGGGATCGAGCCCCGCATCAGGCTCCCTGCTCAGCGGGAAGCCTGCTTCCCTCTCCCACTCCCCCAGCTTGTGTTCCCTCTCTCGCTGTCTCTCGCTCTCTGTCAAATAAATAAATAAAATCTTTAAAAAATAAATAAAAAGAATAAAAATAAATTAAAAATGTATTTGTGGCTTAAGGTATATTTTTCTGCTGGTGTATTTTTATTTTTTTAAGATTTTATGTATTTGAGAGAGAGAGAATGAGAGACAGAGAGCATGAGAGGGAGGAGGGTCAGAGGGAGAAGCAGACTCAGCAGGGAGCCCGATGAGGGACTCATCCTGGGACTCCAGGATCATGACATGAGCCAAAGGCAGTTGCTTAACCAACTGACCTCTGCTGGTGTATTTTTAAAACATTTATCTCTCTCTTTCCCCTTACAACCACACATATTTACTGAGTACCATTTTTTGAATTAAAAAAATATAGGTAGATAGATATGTTAGAATAGTGCCTAGCTATTACTGTTTTGTACCAGCCATATTTTGTTTCCAAAATATTTGGATAAACATTAAGATCTAATATAAAGTTCCACATTCAGGGATTTTCTCAAGGTCATAATACAGAAAATTTTAAAGCCAGTTATTTTTCTAACACAGTTAATTTTATTTTCCTGCTCTGTCTCTACAGAGGTAGTTTTAATCATGTGCAATATAAACAGATGTAGGCTTCATTTACAGTGGCATTGTGTTAAGAGGAAAAAGATAGGGGCGCCTGGGTGGCTCAGTTTGTTAAGCAGCTGCCTTGGGCTTGGATCATGATCCCCAGGTCCTGGGATCGAGCCCCACATCAGGCTCCCTGCTCCGCGGGAAGCCTGCTTCTCCCTCTGCCACTCCCCCTGCTTGTGTTCCCTCTCTCGCTGTGTCTCTCTCTGTCAAATAAATAAATAAAATCTTAAAAAAAAAAAAAAAGGTAGTATTGTGTAAGGGATCCATGAAGCCAGGAAGGGGGTTAGTCTCTTAGGACTCTGGGATCCTCTGGCCCCATTTTTTTTTTTTTTTTCCTGTTGTTGTTTCTTCCCCTCTCCTGGTTAATAGCACTAAGAGAGCTTTGGGCTCTCCTCAAACTCAGGGTCTTGGCCAGGATGGGAGAAGTGGTCATTTCCAACTCAACAAGCCTTCTTCTGGGACAGTAACAGCTATTTCTAGCAGTGGGGTTGTTTGTTTCTTGGATCAGCCTCTTCACCCCTCTCAGGGTCCTTTGCCCAAAGGACTTTGCCTTTCCTTTCGCAGTCGGACGCCCTGGCACCCTGCACAACCGGACAGCCCCGCAGAAGCCCGGGGCCGGAGCCACTCCTTCTAACTCTTCCACCCCGGACACATCTAGCAGGAGGCAGTGCCCGGGGCGGCGACGCGACGGTGAAGCCTACCCCCGGGGCTGCCGGCCGAGCCGCCTAGGTGCCTCGCCTTCGGGACAGAGCTGGCAAGCGCCAAGCTGGGGCCGCCACAGCCGAGCCGGGAACGGCCTTTGCCCGGGCCGAGGCGGAAGCCGGAGCATTTGGGGGACGGGACCGCGGGAACCCGGAAACGCCTGGGCCGCACCAGGCTCGCGGCGGCGAAGGCAGCTGGAGCCGGCGGCTCAGCGCGTCAGGGGTCGTGGGGGACCCAGCGGGCTGGACAGCCTGGGGCGCCGGGCGGAGCTGAGTCGCCGCCCGGGGTGCAGGCAGCCTGTCGAGCTGCGCGGGAGGTGAGCGTGGAGCGCCCCTGGGGGGAGGCGGGCGTAGGGCAGCAGGCTGCTGCAGCGGCCGGCCGGAGCGCTAGAGGCTGCCGGGGGGGTGGTCCGGGGCAGCTCCGGGAGGAGGAGGCGGAGGCGGAGGAAAAGGTGTGCGGGGGCAGATGGAAAGTCCGTCAGAGTGAAGGGGACGGTGTCCAGCTAAGCACGGGTGGGAGCGGATCAAGTGACACGTTGTACCTCCGAGGGACGACGTGCGGAATGTGCTGGGTGGAGGAGGAAAAGGGCCCGAGGAAAGGGGTGTGTCAAGCCAATGAAAACGGCACTGTGTGCCTCAGAGCCTGGGGCGTGCGGAGCCCGCTGGCCGGTGGGCCGGCCTGGCCGTCGTTCCTTTGGGGAGCGTCCCTTGAGCTCCGGCTCCGAGTGCAGCCCTGTGGTAGGCGCCGATCCACCAGACGAGGACCCTGCGCTCAAGAAGCCGCAGGGACTTCCAAGAGATGGAAGGGCTGTCCCTGGTAAGGCTAGTACATAGGCATGGGCTGTCCGAAGCTAGGTGAGATTCCTATCAGAACAGGTGTGTGTGCGCGCGCGCGTGTATGCTGGGGGGAGGGTTCTGAGTGTTGAGGAAGGGAGGATTTTAATAGCATTTATTTACCAACTAACCACCTTTCAGGAACGCTGGTTCAAATGAACTATAAAGAATGATACTGAATTTTGAAATGGGCCTTGCTTAGCCAACCACTTACATTTCATTACTTTAGTAGAAAGACTGAATCTTTTATTATGTTTTATTACACGCAGTATTTGAAAATGGAATCAGAGTTTTTGGTTTTTAATCAACATTCAACTTTGATAGTAAAAGATGAAATTTGGTACAGTTTCTCACTTGGTGCTCTTAGGTTCATTGGTAAACTCCGGTTGTTTCCTTTAAGGGAGTGACTTAAGTTTACGTTAATGGTCCTAACATTTCCTACCTAACACTTCTCCTACGTGTAGAGTCTACTTTTTCAGCGTCTCAGTTTACTTCTCCCCTTTTTCTTTCCCTCTACCTCCGTGCTAAATGTGGTGTTTCTCTTCTCTTATTTGCAGTATAGCAATGGCTTCCAAACTGGACTTGCTTCCCTCAATTTGTCCCCCTTCCAGTCACTCCCCTCCATACTGCTTCTTAAAGTTAGACAGCTTATGCAGTCCCGGGTTACTCTTCCCTCAGAAATACTCAGTGACCCTCTATTGGATCCAAAATACATTTAAAATTATTTAGGATGGCATTCAAAACCTTTCAAAATTGCAGCTGTCCATAGCTCCAATCAGATCAATATGTCCCTTTCATTTTTTTAAATTAACTTTATCCCACATAATCCTGGTTTTTGTTTTTTTTTAGCTAAACTGCAGTAGTTACTTGGAAATGTTATTTCTGAACACGCTTTATGCCTACCTGCCTTGGTCTTTGCTTGCATCCTTTCTTCTACAAGGATCTTCCTTACCATCTTTGTAGAGATTCTACTTAGTCTTTTTTTTTTTAAGATTTTATTTATTTATTTGACAGAGACAGAGATA